CCTTATACATTCCTTCAGATGATTTGAACAAGGAATGTGATTAGACAGACGTACCTCATAGTAAGCCAGTGTCCCAGCCTCCCTGGTGTAAGGTCCAGCTGGTCCAGGGCCTGATGCTGGAGCCCCAACAGAGGTGTCAGATGGGTTTTGCAGGGTGAAGCTTTTTCCGTAGGTTGGGAAGCCAACAAGGAGCTTCTCAGCTGGGGCACCATTGTCCTTCCAGTAATTCATAGCATATTCCTGTAAGAAAACACTCCTGTTGAAGTCTTTGCCCTGGTTTGCAGGCAGGATGATGAATTCCTCAATGTCTCCTCACTGGTGCAATCACAGAGCTGAGGCCTGGGATTCTGTCTCACAAACACTTACGACGTTGAAGTACTTGAAGTCCCCAGTGTCAGCTGGGCCTGTGAACAGGGGGCTGTTCTCGCCAGTGTTTCTCTCCCAGGAGCCGTGGAAGTCGTAGGTCATCACGTGGATGTAGTCCAGGTACCTGTGGAGAGCATTGGCTGTGCCCTGACCCGCTCAGGCACCAGAGCTGACGGTTCCTGCAGCGCTGGCCGGTCACCCCTGTCCCAGCCCGGCCACGGCCCCACTTCCTGCACATCTGGGTCCCTCAGGGGCTCTTTGCACCTTTGACTGCAGCGCTTGCAGGGAGACAATCCAGTCCCACAAGTGATCCCAGGCTTTGTTACTCACTTGCCCAGCTCAGCAATCTCGTAGCCAGCCTGGATGGTGGAAAGTCCTGCAGCCACAGCCGCGGTGACCAGGAGCCGGGGCTGGTTGGTCTGTTTGGCTTCCTGCTCAAAGGCTGCCAGCAATTCCTGAGGGATGCCAAGGAACAGGGCTCAGACTTTACATCTGCCCAGGGCTCTGGCCAGAGCTGTGCTGAGCAGAGCAAAACTCACCTTAACCAGGACGGTGAAGAGCCCCTTGTCCTGGGCTGGGCTGCCCCTGGAGCCAGGGTATTCCCAGTCCAGGTCCAGCCCATCAAACTGGTACTGGCGCAGGAATTTGATGACAGAATTGATGAAGGTCTGGCGGTTCTCAGCAGAGGAAACCATTGTAGTGAACCTGGGCAAGCAGAGCAGGAGAGCGTTGGGCTTTGTTTGGAGCATCTTCCTCCTCTCCTTCCCTTTCCAGGGTGCTTTTATGGGCAGGACATGGTTTGAACTTACTTGGCTGTGCCAAAATTCCATCCTCCAATGGCCAGGAGTGTCTTCAGATCCTTGTTCCTGCAAAGGAAGGACAGGTACCAGAGTTACTGCAAGTCCACAGTACCCTGAGCCACTGTCACTGTGGTCAGAGGAGCGGGGCTGTCACCCTGCCCTGCCCTGCCCAGCCTGTCTCTGCCTTCTCTCTCAGCATCCCTCGCCCAGGGCTGTGCAGAGAGCAGAGGGTGAACAACAGGGTAGGACCTGAGAGGAAGAACAAGCCCTGCCCTCTGCTCCCAGCACATACTGGTTCTTCAGGCCGTTGAAGGATTTGTAGAGGGTCTCATCATTCCATTCATAAGTGGTGATCTCGTTGTTGTTCATCCCGGCGAAGGCGTAGATCAGGTGGTTGCACAGGCAGGGGTCAACATTTTCGGGTGTGTATTTGCCCAGGCCAGGCCTGTACTGGGCCCAGTTGGTGAAGTAACATGTCAGCACGTAGGCAGTGCCTGTGGGGAGACACAGGAGCTGGAGGGGCTGCCTGCTGCTCCTCAGACACCAGTGGCTTCAGCCAGAGCATCAGGAGCAGATCTGCTGGGAAGGACTGGGCAGAGTTTCCTTCTGGGGTCAGGAGTTCAGACAAAGGGCACTGGGGTTGCTCCTCCCTCACACACTGCCCAGCTCTCTGGGACACCAATGGATTTGTTTCCTTCCTCCTCTGTCTCGGGGGACGGGTCGGCCTCGGGGCCTCTGGTGCCCCAAAACTCACGACTCGGGGTCTCTCCCCCAGGCTGACCTCCTGCCTCCCTGCTGCCCTGGGAGGCAGGAGGGAGGCAGGAGGGCTGGCTGCAGAAGGGCCAGCTTGGTGGGAGGCTCTTGGTGTTGGCTGTGCCCCCTGTTTGCCCTGTCTGGGAGTGCTGGGGCTGGGAAGGGTTGGCAGGAGTTGTTTTAGGGAAGGAAGCACCTACCGAGGTGGGCGTTGAGCAGCAGGGCCAGACCTGGGAGGGCAAAGGGAAAAACAAACCTGTCAGTGTTTGCACTCAGAAACACAAAGTTCTTGTGCAAGACTGGGCTGAACCCAGAATAACCTTACCCTGTCACCTCTGTGTTCTATAGCAAACACACCACACTGCGAATTCCCAGGCTGAGGCACCTCAGCCTGGGTAACATTTGTCAAATGATTTCAGGTAAAAGCACAGAAAAGAGAGCAAACAAGTGACCAAGCATTAGTTTGAATGTTAGATTTTTGTTCCAAAGCACATCTCAGTTTCCAACTGCAGTGAACTCTATTCATGTTCAAAGCAGAACAGATCCCCAGCAGCAGCACTAAAGAACAGAACTCTCCCTCCTTAAAGGAGGTTGTGAAATCTCTCCTGAAAAGAGGGAGCAGCAGTTTTATACCCCCAAGGCCCTGTGCAGGCACAGTGGGACAGTGACAGAGCCCCAGCACTTGTCAGAAAGGCAGAGCCCCGGGTTGAGGCGGCACTTACCGGTGAGCAGAGTGAGCTTGGCCATCTTGGACCAGAACTGATGTGCTGCACAAAGTCTCTACTTTTATACCCTTCTCCCCCCTGCTGCCAATCTTGGATCAACATGGGTGGGCAAACATTGTGAGACTTGGCAAAGATCAGCATCACCTCAGCTGGTACCCGGACAATGGGCCTGAACACTCCAGCTGGAGACATCACTGGTGGTGGGTCGTGCCATGTGCTGGTGTTGCAAGAGCAGCTGAAGAGCCAGATTAGATTTCTGTCATTGTTTGGAAGTTCGTTCCCAGCCCAGGTTTGTGTCCCCGCTGGGACTGGGCAGTGCCCGGTGGCTGAAGGGTTTGACCTTGTGCTGTCCTTGAGTCCTCCCACGGCCGGTGGCACTGCCAGCAAAAGGGTTGTGCTTTACAAGGGTTTGGTCTCCTTGGTGGGACCAAGTGAAGGCAAAAGTGAGCAGGACTTCAGTCCCCAGCACTGGGCATTTTGGAGGATGTGGGAACTGGGCTCACTCCCTGTAGGCACAGTGTCTGTTGGGATAGAGGGGCTTTGGGGTCTGAGTCGTGTCTTGCCCACACCAGTTGAGGTGGTGTCACTTCAGGGACACAGAAGGGGTTTCCTTATTTCTTGGAGCTCAGGCTCTCTGGGAGGGAGCTCAGAGACAGAGCAGGTTGCATTTCCCTTCAGACTTATCCCCCCCTCTTTTTGCTCAGATGTTTCCCAAAACCAGAGACCTCTCTGTTGCCGAGGGTTCAGGTTTTTCCTTAGGTTTCTGTGAAGTCCCATCGAGTCAAATTACCCAAATGCCTCAAAATACTCTTTCCTCATTTTCATCTTCTCCCCAGGCAGAGACTCAGCAGCTCTTACCCTGTGTGAGGAGATAGGTGGTTTCTCCCCTTTTGCACCCTCAGGACTAGTGCAAATGGCAAAGGCACAGCAGGCACTTGGCCAGTGGCCCTGCTCCAAGATGTTCCTTTATTCCTGTTCAGGTGACATGAAGGTGACTTCCCAGTAGGTCACCCAGGCTTGGCTGAATGGGAGCCTGGAAAACAGCCTCAGAGTTGCCCACGTCACACGTTGGGTGACCTGCAGATTAAAGTGTGTTGGCCTGACCCTTTGGGTTTCCTGCAGGCACTGGGTGTCCTGCGACCGATAACAAGACAACCACCTCCAAGGGGGATTTTTCCAGTGTGTTTCTTGGTTGATAAAGTAGCATAGTATAAATTAAATTGGAATAGATTTGGGAAATCCCACCCTCAGCAACCTCTGGAGCCTTTTCAGGTCTGTTTTGGTGTGGAAAGGCAAGCTCAAGGACACTGATTTGCATGTGGTGGTAACAAATGGCAGTTGGTCAAGTCCTGGAGTTTTCCTTCAGGACTTTCCCTGCCTTCTTTCTGTCTAAAGAAAGGTATTTTTCCATGGGCTCCCTGGGAATGGCAGTAGGTAATTAAGGGCAGAAGAACTGGTTCCTGATAAAAGGATTCAAGTTAAAAAAGGGTCAAGTCTGCAGAAGGGGACCTCCCACACTGTTCCAGCAGCTGAAGTGTTGGATTGCAGAGATCCACCACTCCGGGTTGTTTCTGCTGTAGTTTCCCTCCACACACCAACTAAAATTGTCATTCTGCTGATTCTGTGGCTGTGCTGGAATAAGTCTGTCTGTCCTTCAGCTGCCTGGGCTCTTTTCTGATGGGTCACGGAATGGAGACCCTGATATTCCAGTTGTTCCTTTCAGAATAGTTCCTTCTTACTGTGTGCAATTAGATCAGAGGGGTGACAAGAAATAATGCTTCTCTGAGAAGAATATTCTCTTCATAAGGGGGAGAACGACTCAGCAGACACTGACTTGGTTTTCCTTTGGTGATGGGATACCCTGGGCTTCCCTAAGGTGACCACACGGGGGCAAGAGCCTATTCAGACCCCAAAGCCCCTCTATCCCGACAGACACTGTGCCTACAGGGAGTGAGCCCCGTTCCCACGTCCTCCAAAATGCCCAATGCTGGGGACTGAAGTCCTGCTCACTTTTGCCTTCACTTGGTCCCACCAAGGAGACCAAACCCTTGTAAAGCACAACCCTTTTGCTGGCAGTGCCACCGGCCGTGGGAGGACTCAAGGACAGCACAAGGTCAAACCCTTCAGCCACCGGGCACTGCCCAGTCCCAGCGGGGACACAAACCTGGGCTGGGAACGAACTTCCAAACAATGACAGAAATCTAATCTGGCTCTTCAGCTGCTCTTGCAACACCAGCACATGGCACGACCCACCACCAGTGATGTCTCCAGCTGGAGTGTTCAGGCCCATTGTCCGGGTTTCAGTTGAGGTGATGCTGATCTTTGCCAAGTCTCACAATGTTTGCCCACCCGTGTTGATCCAAGATTGGCAGCAGGGGGGAGAAGGGTATAAAAGCAGAGACTTTGTGCAGCACATCAGTTCTGGTCCAAGATGGCCAAGCTCACTCTGCTCACCGGTAAGTGCCGCCTCAACCCGGGGCTCTGCCTTTCTGACAAGTGCTGGGGCTCTGTCACTGTCCCACTGTGCCTGCACAGGGGCTTGGGGGTATAAAACTGCTGCTCCCTCTTTTCAGGAGAGATTTCACAACCTCCTTTAAGGAGGGAGAGTTCTGTTCTTTAGTGCTGCTGCTGGGGATCTGTTCTGCTTTGAACATGAATAGAGTTCATTGCAGTTGGAAACTGAGATGTGCTTTGGAACAAAAATCTAAACCTCAAACCACTGCTTGGTCACTTGTTTGCTCTCTTTTCTGTGCTTTTACCTGAAATCATTCCAGAAATTTTACCATCTTCCCTAGAAACCCTCATGTGCCTCAGCTTAGGAATACAGAGTCCTGCACAAGAACTTTGTATTTCTGAGTGCAAACACTGACAGGTTTGTTCTTCCCTTTGCCCTCCCAGGTCTGGCCCTGCTGCTCAACGCCCACCTCGGTAGGTGCTTCCTTCCCTAAAACAACCCCTGCCAACCCTTCCCAGCCCCAGCACTCCCAGACAGGGCAAACAGGGGGCACAGCCAACACCAAGAGCCTCCCACCAAGCTGGCCCTTCTGCAGCCAGCCCTCCTGCCTCCCTCCTGCCTCCTGGGGCAGCACAGCACAGGGGCTCAGCCTGGGGGAGAGACCCTGAGTCGTGAGTTTTGGGACACCAGAGGCCCCGAGGCCGACCCGTCCCCCGAGACAGAGGAGGAAGGAAACAAATCCCTTGGTGTCCCAGAGAGCTGGGCAGTGTGTGAGGGAGGAGCAACCCCACTGCCCTTTGCCTGAACTCCTGACCCCAGAAGGAAACTCTGCCCAGTCCTTCCCAGCAGATCTGCTCCTGATGCTCTGCCTGAAGCCACTGGTGTCTGAGGGGCAGCAGGCAGCCCCCCCAGCTCCTGTGTCTCCCCACAGGCACTGCCTACGTGCTGACATGTTACTTCACCAACTGGGCCCAGTACAGGCCTGGGGAGGGGAAATACACCCCCGAGAACATCGACCCCAACCTGTGCAGCCACCTGATCTACGCCTTCGCCGGGATGAACAACAACGAGATCACCACTTATGAATGGAACGACGAGACCCTCTACAAATCCTTCAACGGCCTGAAGAACCAGTATGTGCTGGGAGCAGAGGGCAGGGCTTGTTCTCCCTCTGGGTCAGGGCAGGGCAGGGGACAGCCCCGCTCCTCTGAGCACGGGGACAGTGGCTCAGGGTGTTGGGGACCTGCTGTTCACGCTTTCCACCTAAAGGACAGGGCCTGGAAAGGCCACAGCTCCACCAAAGCCTTGCAGTAACACAGGTTGCTGTCCCTTCCTTTGCAGGAACAGAAACCTGAAGACCCTGCTGGCCATTGGAGGATGGAATTTCGGCACAGAAAAGTAAAATTCAAACTATCTCTTTCCAATAATGGTGCCCTGGAAAGGGAGGGAGAATGGAAGGAGGCCCCAGTCTAACCCCAACTCTCTCCTGCTCTGCTTGCCCAGGTTCACTACAATGGTTTCCACCCCCCAGAACCGCCAGACTTTCATCAACTCCGTTGTCAGATTCCTGCGCCAGTATGGATTCGATGGGCTGGACCTGGACTGGGAATACCCCGGCTCCAGGGGCAGCCCAGCCCAGGACAAGGGGCTCTTCACTGTCCTGGTTAAGGTGAGTTTTGCTCTGCTCAGCACAGCTCTGGCCAGAGCCCTGGGACAGATGTAAAGTCTGAGCCCTGTTCCTTGGCATCCCTCAGGAATTGCTGGCAGCCTTTGAGCAGGAAGCCAAACAGACCAACCAGCCCCGGCTCCTGGTCACCGCGGCTGTGGCTGGAGGACTTTCCACCATCCAGGCTGGCTACGAGATTGCTGAGCTGGGCAAGTGAGTAGCAAAGCCTGGGATCACTTGTGGGACTGGATTGTCTCCCTGCAAGCGCTGCAGTCAAAGCTGCAAAGAGCCCCTGAGGGACCCAGATGTGCAGGAAGTGGGGCCGTGGCCGGGCTGGGACAGGGGTGACCGGCCAGCGCTGCAGGAACCGTCAGCTCTGGTGCCTGAGCGGGTCAGGGCACAGCCAATGCTCTCCACAGGTACCTGGACTACATCCACGTGATGACCTACGACTTCCACAGCCCCTGGGACGGCTCCACTGGCGAGAACAGCCCCCTGTTCAGCAGTGGCAGCAGCTTCAGTGTGGTGAGGACATTTGGGGAGCCTCTGTCACTGAACTCCTCTTCCTGCCAGCAAAGCCTGGCACTCACTTGAACCGTGGGATTTTTACAGGAATATGCTATGAACTACTGGAAGAACAATGGTGCCCCAGCTCAGAAGCTCCTGGTTGGCTTCCCAACCTACGGAAAGACCTTCACCCTGCAAAACCCCTCCAACACTGGGATTGGGGCCCCAACCTCAGGCCCTGGGCCAGTAGGACCCTACACCAGGGAGGCCGGGCTTCTGGCTTACTACGAGGTACGTGTGGCCCTCACCTCCAGACACCCAGAGCAGCACAAACCATCCTCTGCCTTCCCAGCCAAGAGTTCTGACCCCAGGCAACATTGCACAGGCCCTTTTTGGCAGGTCTCTCTCTGACTTGTCCTGCTCTGCCCTTCTTTCCTAGATCTGCTCGTTCCTGAACACCGGAGCCACCCAGTCTTGGGATGCCCCTGAGGACGTGCCCTATGCCTACAAGGGCAACGAGTGGATTGGCTACGACAACACGAAGAGCTTCAGTGCAAAGGTCTGGTGGGACGTGGGGCTGTGCTGGGAAGGGGCAGGAGGCTCCTGCAGGAGCAGCTCCTGGGGCTGATCGGGATTTCTGCCCGGCCCCAAACAGGTCGACTGGCTGAAGCAGAACAACTTTGGAGGGGCCATGGTTTGGACCATCGACCTGGATGACTTCACTGGCACTTTCTGCCATGAAGGCAAATACCCCCTGATCTCCACCCTGAAGAAGGGCCTTGGTCTGTGACCAGTGGTGAGTCCCAGCAGGAACACGGCCTTGGTGTCCCCCCAGCAGCTCCAAAGGGCAGGGGGTGTTCAGAGCGCCCTGGGGCCATGGAGAGAGGGCAGGGAGGAGGGTCCCTTCCAAACAGAATCCCTTCCCAAAGGCAAACTGCTTCCTGCTTTCTTTTCAGGCTGCAAGATCCATGAACAGTCCAGTCCTCAAGTCCCTGTACTTCCTAAACATGGAAGCAGCAATTCAGGGGACTGGCCATGAAGATCCCAATCCTGTTCCAGCCAACAGACCCCTCTGACCTAATTGCACACAATAAGAATGATTAAATAAAGCTTTCTGCAAAAGCAACAATTCTCCCTGTTTTAACTCATCTCATCCTGACTATTTCCATGCTCTCGGCTTCCCGACAATCCTGTGGGCTGTGCCTGGGAACAGCAGCAATTAAAAACGCCAACAGCAGGTGTCAATGTTGCCCACTCTTCCCAGCCCTGTGGATGGAGCGATTTTCTTGAAGTCTTCTGCTAACATTTCCAGAGGAAATGTGATTGCAGGGCAGAAAGCTCAGTTCTTGTTCCTCTTTGTTTAATCTCAAACAGAGATCCAGGATTAAGAGGAATTTTTTAGCACTTTCATGTAGAAATGGAGCACTTTGATAAATCCATTCTTTTTGGCCATCTCAAGTGTTTAAGTCACCTGCTTATCTATCTAACCCAGAATTTAAGCTCAGTTTCTGTCTCTTCTGCCTTTCCTTACCAGCACAATAAACATTTACTGCAGGAAAATGGGCTTGAGGGGTCAGTTTAAAGATAGAAACTAATTGGAGCTGAGCGGGACATGCAGGGGAAGGAACAGGCCATGCAAGCCAAAACTTGATTAGGGATGCATGGAGCATCATTTAATCATGGAGCCTGGTTAAAGAGGCCTCTCTGGGCCTCCTGTGGTGATATTGCCAGTCTCTCAATGGCTTAACAGCTTTTAATGACTGAGTTGTACTTGGGGACTACTGACCTTCTTAGATAAACTGTCCCCTCTCCAGGAGTGTGACAGAACGAGGGAAATACAACCACAGTGTCAGTGGCCAAATATGTGCAGAGCTGGCCCACATCCAGCCTGGTCTGTGTGCACTCGCTGGAGCTGCTGCCACTCCAATCCAGTGCCTGTAAATGGAGTCAGGAAAAGGCTCTCTCCCACCTCCCAGTCGTGGAACCCCCACACGTGTCCATCAGCACACGGAGCTGATGGAGCTGATGGTGTAACAGGAGCTGTGCAGGGAGGTGGCAGGAACACCAGCAGGGCTGGCATCTGCTCAGCTGCCTGAGGAGGGCTTTCAGAGGGGTCTGGGAGCTGGCCTGGGCCAAATTTCTCTCTGTTCCTCCAAAACAGATCGTTTGGTGTGCCTGCAGGGCACAGGTTGCAGCTGCCGTGGGATCCATCCCGTGGGAAGCCCTGGCTGAAGATCCAGCACCGTGTAACACAGAGCCATGGAATCATTCAGGCTGGAAAAGACCTCCGAGGCCATGGAATCCACCCTGTGCCCGATGCCCACCTTGTCACCCAGCCCAGAGCACTGAGGGCCACGTCCAGTCCTTCCCTGGACACCTCCAGGGGTGGGGACTCCACCACCAACACGTTCCATCCAGCAAATCTCTGGCATCTGGTTTCGTTCAGACTCATGGCAAGAAAGCCTTAAAGCTCCTCAAATTCCCTCCTCCTGAAGACAGCAGGTCTTGGCCAGGAGGCTCCATGCAGACACCGTTCAGGGCAGCCAGGAGGGACTCATCTCTCTCTGATTCTCATGACATCAGGTCCTTTGTTGGAAGGTCTCTATTTTTAAGCTGTTTTCCCCAGTCCCAACTCCTTGTTCCAACGGCTGGATCTGCTCTGCTTCACACCGTCTTCCTCTGGCATCTGGTTTCCCTTCTCTCCACAGCTCATTGAGTGGAACTAAAGAAGTGCTGATTTTCAGATACCAACCATTCCCTGCTCCCCAGGGAGATTCCTGCCTCCTGCATGCACATTCCCAGAAATACCATCTGACTCACTCTGATTACGAAATGCTGCAGCCATTTCCCACCCCTCTACTTCTAGAGTGTGGTTAGCTCACCTTTTGTCCCCAGGGATATTTTATAGGGATTTAGAAGAGTTTTTTTCATGAGGATTTGATGCAGTGCTGCAATTGCCCATTGTATATTCTTCCCTCACAGCACATCTTTCATCTTTCCTCTTTCTCTCTTGGCACTAAACTGCTATAATTAGGCTCTGTAAACGAATCTCAAGCTTCTCTGATGTTGTGAAACACTCAAACTCGATTTCTGACCATCCTGTTCCCCAAATAGACCTTGACTCTGCACTGCAGGCATCTCCCTGACGTTCCCTGGTGCTCGGGGTGGAGGCAACACATCCCCCAGCTCCCTGTGGTGGTGAACTCCAGGGACCAGGGTGCTCTGTCTGCCTGGGAATGGGCTGCAGATCCTCCCACCTAGTCCTGTATCCAAGTGTTAGTCCCTACATCATTGCCTGGTCTGTTGGCAGGTGAGAACAGGCCTTGGAAAGGCTCCTGTGTTCACCTGAGACAGATCCACAAATCCCTCACCTGCACGTGAATGTCTGTGCCCAGCACAGGTGGGTGCAGGTGGGCACAAGGGCCTGCAGAAAGGTTGGATGTGCACGGATGGACTGCACAGGGGTGTTATTGTAGCTCAGGAAATATCACATGGAGAACTGGAGCTTCCTTTCAGCTGCTCTGGGTGGTTCCTTATTTTTGTGGACCTTACGTTCTGTGAAATTTTTTTCATAGTCTGATCTTTCAAAAATTGGATTTATTAAAGCATTTAATCTTCAAAAATCCACTTAAGATTGGTAACGCATATTACAGCCTGAACTAATATAATCTATTACTTAGGAAAATGTCAGCCCTGAGCACACAGATCTCCAGCTCCCTGCAGTCAGGGTTCCAAGGGGCAGGTTCAGCCACGGAACATGACCTGTTTTCCCCATCCATCCCACCCCGACAATCCCCATTATCAGGAAAGAACCAGATGCCCTGGAGTGGGAGCTGAGACAAGCTGGGAGTGCTGGGGGCTAATCCTTCACTGAACTGTGGCTGCCCCTGGGCTGGACACGGACGCTGGGACACTGTCCTGCATCTCATCCAGTGCTCAGGAGCTCTGCTCCTTGCCAGGACCTCAGAGCAGGGAACAGGAACTTCCTTTCAGCCCCGTCCTTTTCCCTCTGAACCCTTCAGAGGATGCTCTGCCCCCACACCACCATCCCAGCTCATCTAATTACTTACTAAGCTCTTTTTCTGGTTAGCCAACATCTGCCCATTTCCAATTAATCCGTGTTCACAAGCTCAATAACCTGAGCCATCTGGGGAGGTAAGAGAGATAAGCTTCCCATTAAACATTTACAGGACACAACAGGAGTACTGAGGCAACTGTTGCTGAGACAACCCAGGCAGGGAGGGGGAGCAGCTGATCCTGTGCCTCCAGCGGCCACCGTGCCAGGGAACCAGGAAAACAAAATGTAGGGGTCTAAAAACGGATGTGGACCCTCACCCCCCCTCCCCAGGGCACGAGCTCCTCTCACTTACACCCACGAACGCCCTTGCTTCATCACAATAAAGGTTCTTAAAATAATTCAATAGCATTTCGGGCCCTGGAAACCCGAGCAACCAAATAGCCTTTAAATTAAACATTTGGTCCTGAAGCAGCAGCTCCAGGTGCCCTTCAACCCACAGGGCTTAAAATAGCCCAGAAGTCAGGCTGACCCCCAGTTCAGCTTTCCTGAACGGGGTGAAACGTGGCCTCGATTCTAAGCAGAGACGTTATCTCTGTCCCCACACTTCAGCAGCCACTGGCCTTGTTTTGCAAGAACAGTTTTGTTTCCCAATCTTGCTGGATGGGGTTTATCTCCCCAAGCACCTCCACCCTTTTTCCCATTCAGAGTTTCTGGGGCAGCAAGGGAACAAGATCCTTTGCCAGTATATCCCATTCCCTCAGGTTAGTGCAGCAGAAGGGGGGAGCCTAAAAACCTTCATGGAAACGAAGGAGCCTCAGGAATGAACTCAGAAATTGAGAATATTTGAGTGTGTCTCAAGATCCAGGGAGAGGGTTGGCAGATTATGTGGAGTTTAAGGGTGTGGAGTTTATGGGGCCACGAAATTCCACACTTTGAATCCTGTGTCCAGCTCTGGGCCCCTCGCTCCAAGAAAGACATTGAGGTGCTGGAGCATATCCAGAGATGGGAATGGAGCTGGGGAAGGTACAGCAGCACCTTTGAAAGAGCCTATCTTTCTGGATACAGGAGGTTCCTGTCCTGGGACAGGGGGTTGGAACAAGCTGATGATCTTTCAGGTCCCTTCCACCCCAAACCAGTGTGTGATTTGATGTGTCACCCCGAGAGGATTCAGCCAATAATTCTGAATATTGCAGACATGGGAGAAAACCCGTTTAGGCTGAGAACTGCCGTGAACTTGAAAGCAATAAAAGGCAAATTCATCAAAGAAACTCCCAATTACTGCTGGCCCAGGGCTGTGCTGCAGGGAGGGAACACTGGGAACAGCGTGTGAACCCAGTTCGGCTGACGGGGGAGTGGGGAAGCTGCACTGGGGGCACTGCCCTGGGTTTAATCCTGTATTCCTGGCTGTCACTGTGGGGACTCTCCTGGGGCTGGCCTGGGGCTGAGAGAGCCCTGAGAGGCTGCCAGGGCTCAGGGGGAGAGAGGGAAGCGGAAGTAAAAGCGTTCATGTTATAATTTCTTGTAGCAGCCTTGATTCCTCCTCACGGGGCAGACCCAGGGATGGGGGTGGGAAGGGGCCCCCCTTTAGTTTGCTGACCCTTTATTTTACCCACAGAGGAGTGAACACCCCCTTGTCCCATCCGTGGCTGGGACATGGAACATGACCTGTTTTCCCCATCCATCCCACCCCCACAATCCCCATTATCCCTGAGGAAAGGTGCCCTGGACTGGGGTGCCCCACACGGAGCTGCCCTCTGTGCCTCCCTTCCCTTCCTCCCTCCCTTCCAGGCTGGATGCATTCCCTCTTCCAGGCATCCTGGCACCCTGAACGTGCTTCCCACTCGGAGCCCTTTGTTCCCATGCCAATCTCCATAAAAACTGGAAAACCAGCCTGTGCCCCCCCCCCAGCAGCACCCCTGGAGCTCCCGGGGCTCCAGCGCCCCGGCCACGGAGGGATGTCCATCTTTGGAAGCGGCTCTGCTCCCCAGCCCCGCTCCCCCTGCCCTCGTGGGAGGCTTTTGCTGT